AGGACCTGATTCTGATTGACTAGGTATGTGACACTGAAATTTTTTGTCAAACCAAAGAATATAATGATACGAATGCTTGTTCCTAATTTTGCTGGTCAAAGTGTGTGTAGGGGGGGAGCACAGATTGTCAGCTCAAGTACTACACAAACATCCAGATACTTTCTATGCCTGCATTCAAAGAGATCTTTATTTACTGTAACTGAGATGGCTGAAAGCGAAACCCAGAATCTCATTCTGTAAATGGCCGAATTACAGCACAAATTAAATTTTCAATCTTGCAGGATGTGTACTATAAAAAAAGAAGATATTCACTGGAGAGAAATGTGATCTTAAAGATCAAAATGGTGACCTATGAAAATTTCCAGTGCAAGCTGAGAACATGAATTTTCCAAGTTGTGATTCCTTCTCTTCTAGTAAAAGGATATGCTCCACCCTGTCTGAGAAGATGAACCTTGCTTTGCCTGCTGAAACAGCAGCAGACTACCCTGATGAAATTTATTTTTGTTTTTATTGTTTATTTATTTACTTATTTAGTGTTACCACTGATTAAATACAGGACTGTCACACTGAGGCAGTGTCATATTAAGTCCCTAAGTTGTCCGGGCTGAGCTTGTACTTGGAATCCTCCTGATTCAGTCTTTCAGAGTGCTAGGATTCCAGGCATGCATCATTCCACCTAGCCTTGAAATTTCTTTGTAAAATGTCTGATTATTCTCAAATTCCCCCTCCAGCATCCCCTTTTGCTTCTAGACCCATAACTAGACATCAGTTCTAAAAGGCCCTTAAAGATATGACACAAAATCTGACCCATGCAGAGCTCTGCTACATTCCAAAATAACCACTTGATTTTTCCAGTTTATATAGATGGAAATCTTGGGGAATTGTGCGGGAATAGATGTTAAAGGTAAAAAATAATACTTAGAGGAACATAAATGTGAATTAGGCTTAATTAATTGATATAGATCCATTAAGCATAATGTCTGGATTTATGTTGCATCTTAGGGAATGAGAAAAGTTTTGTTCATTGGCTTAAAACTCAGACTAAAAATTTCCCATAGTAAATGAATATGAAATGCTAGCCTTGCCTTGATATACTACAGAGGAAGGGATTCAAAATCTTAGGGAAATCCAGGCATGGCGGCATACACCTGTAATCCTAGCACTTAGGAGGCTGAGAAAGGAGGATTACTGTGAGTTCAAGGTCATCTTGGGCTACATAGTGAGTTCAAGAGTTTAAGGGCAGCTTGAACTACATAGCAAGTATGTATGTCTCAAAACAAATCTGAAGGAGGTCAGAGTGCTAGAGTGTATTTCCATTAACGCCACGCTCACTCACCATGGAAGTTTCCAGGGAACTTCTCTTTAATCAGGGTTGTGATAAAAGCCTTAGAATCCTTGAAGGGCTCTGTGCTGGTCTTTGTGGACTGGAAACTACAACGGTACTACTGAAGCTAAATTGAGACACCTGATGCACTAGAAATAATTGAATCATGGGTTCAAGAGTTAAAATGTGGTACACCAACAACAACGACAATGGGGGCATGATGATCATAATGAACAGATGAGTCAAGAAGCAATCCAAGAATTTGACTTGTGCACTTCTATCATGTTATACTATTGATCACAGTTATGCAAGTGAAATAGCCAGAAACACTGATGAATTCTTATTGCTTTTGCACAAGCAGAAGAGTTCTAATTGATATGAACAGAAGTTTACCTTTAATCATAATAGAGCAGCACAAACTCTCAATCAATTTCTAGGTTCCATCAAGTTTACAGATCTCCAAAGCTTAAATTAAATGGATCCTCTTGAGAGGGAAATTCACTACACTGACAACAATTTGTATTGTTAGTCTTTCTCTTGTCCTTCCCCAAAGAAATCTGTGGCTTTTTACCAAAGTCAGTGTGCTCTGAGAAAAAGTAAATAAGTATTTGGGGGAATTTTTGACAATGATTCTGAACTCCTACTAGTTTCAGGACATCAAAATGTAATTACACAAGGATCCAAACTGATTAGAGACTTATTGATGTCCAGTGATTGAATGGACAATTAGTTCACTTCTGCCTCACTGTGTTTCTAGAGGGTCCCTAAAGTCATCTTGTGATTATTGCCCCAGTCCTAGAATGCATAACTGGAATAGTCATGGCAAAATCTCCACATTGGTGCTCTCATTTGTGGAGTGGAGGCTCATAATATTAAAAAGGTGACATTCAGGCTACTAGATGTGCTTTTACCTAGGAAAAAGTAAACAAAAGCAGTAACACCAATTCTTCCAGGGATTATAGAGATTAATGTCATAACTAGGGATTTAAAGGATGTAGGAGAGGATACCACATCCTCTTCCAAACAAACAGTTTGTAATGTGCAGAAGAGAGATAGATTTTAGAAAATTCTAGTGGATTATTGTAAGTTTAATCAGGTGGCAAATACAATTGCAGCTGCTATTTCAGAAGTGGTTTCATTCCTGCAGCAAATTAACACATTCTCTAGTACATGATAGATAATGGTTAGTTTCAGAAATGCTTTTTCCTCCTACAAATCTAGTCATAAAGATCATCAGAAACAGTTTGCTTTCAGCTGACAGGTCATATATAAATCTTTCCTGTTCTATTTCAAGGACAATTTAGATTGCAAAGATCTTATTAACTTTTTTTTCCACAAGATATCACACTGGTGCATGAATTGATGACATTATAATGATTTGAACTGTGAGCAAGAAGTAGTAACTCCTTTAGCCTTTTTGGGAAGACACTGGCATCTTAGAGGAAGAAAAATTCCCACAAAAATTCAGGAGATCTTTCAGTGAAAATTCTTCAGAGGGAACCATTGAGAAATATCATTTGTAAGGTGAAAAAAATATTGATGCATCTGACCTTTTCCACAACCAAAAAGGTTGATGCAACATCTTAGCAAAACATTATTTTGAAGTTTGGAGGCAATATGTTCCTCATTAGAATGTGCCATCCCAGTCCGTTTGCAGAGAACCTCAAAAGCTACTAGATTTAGGGAGCCCAGGATAAGAGAAGATTCTGCAGTTGAAGCTGCTTGCCGCTAGAGCCAGGTGACAGACAATGCAATGGTACTTCACATGTCAGTGGCACATGAGAATGTCGTTTGTAGTAAAAAGACCCTGGAGGGGCCATCATCTCTGGATAACAAACTCTTCTTTAAAAATATCTTTCTGCTTTGTACTGGGTCTTAGTAGAGACTAAACACTTAATTGTGAGTCACCAAGTTATGGTGTCACACAAGATGACTATCATGAACTAGACATTATCTGACTCCTCAAATCATAAAGTTGAGCATGTACAGGAACACTCGCTCCAAAAGTGGAAATGGTAAACATGTGTATACTTAATTAAGCCTGAGCAGGTACTGAAACCCCTTGTAAGAAAAATGAAGAACTGGCCCAAATCCTCACCATCCGCTTTTCTGACACATATTCTCTTCTTCCCAGCCTAAATCTATAGCTTCATGGGAAGTTGTCTATAATAAGCAGATAGAGGAAAACGTTGGCCAGACTTACAGATGGTTCGATGTTTCATGCAGTATCACATGAAAGTGGACATCTGTAGCACCAAACCTCCTTCCTGGGATATCCTGAACTACTATGAGGATCAGAAACCCTCTCAGTGGGCACTGAATAATCTTGTTAATATTGTTTGGAAAAAGAAATGGCCATACGTATGATTATATGCTAACTCATGTGCTGTGATCAATATTTTGGCTAGATGGTCAAGGAATTACAAGGGACGTGATTAGAAAATTGGTGACAGAGAGTTGTGGCAAGCAGTATGTAGATAGACCTCTCTGAATGGGTGGAAAATAGGAAAATATTTGTGATCTCGACACAGGGTGATTTCAATAAGGAAATGGAAGGGACAATCAATTCTATGGGTAGCAGTGTAAATCTCTTTAGCCAGCCACCTCTGTCATTACTGAATGGACTCATGAACGAAGTGAGAGCGGTGTTAGGAATGGAGGTTAGGCATCAGCTCAGTAACTGGCTTTCCAATCACCAAAGCTGAGATGGCTACAGCTATTCCTGAGTCCACTCTGCCAGCAGCTAACTCTGTCCCCATGTCCAAAATATAACAGCATTCTCTGTGGTGGTCATCCACCCCCATGGACACAGAGTGAGAGAAACGCTTGCATCACAGTGGGGCCAGCCTTCCGTTCTCATTGGAATAGACACTGTGGACCTAGATTGGTGTGCCCTGCGTGCAGTCCCTCTGCCAGAACTACCATCCTTGGACTCACAGAATGCCTTAGCACCATCATGGTCCACTACACAGGATTGCTTCTGACGGAGAAACTCCACTCACAGGAAGTGCAGTGTGGCCCTCGCCTTGCCCACCCTTCTCTCTGAGTCCTTTCTGCCCCCCAAGAGCAAACCCAGCTAAGAGATCCAAAGCAAGAGCAGCCCATGGAAAGAATTTCCTGAAGGGGCACCTCTTCTAACTTGTAACACTTCGCAGGGTTCATATGAAATACGTCAGAAAAAGTGAGATGAGAACAATTTCTGACCCCTTGAGAAAAAAGGAATGAAGGGGCAGGGGATGGAAGGGAGGCGGAAGAGAGGAGGAGGACAGAGAGGGCGAGAGCTGGGCGACACAGCCAGATAAATGGCTCCTGCCTGTGTCTCCGTGCAGCACTGATCTGTGGAGGATGGGAGGGAAGGGAGGGCTGGGGAAGGAGATTCATAAAACAGTGAAGACATTTGACTCAGGCACCAACTCCCCACAATGAATGTAATCACAATGTACTAAAAACATACACTGATTTAAAGCTTTCAAATCACTAATGTGTACAATTAGGACATGTTAATAACTGCAATTTAAAAAATCATATCTGGGTAACAAAATAAGCACTAGGAGAGCAGAGGATATTGAAAGAGGATGATATCCGAGTAAAGCACATATCAAACCTATTCCAAGGCTATAGCCATTAGAAAAGTGCCCAGGGCACCGACAGTAGGTTAAGAGAAGAAAAAGTGGGACAGCTTCTTTCTTCTGCCACCTTTCCTCCCATGAAAGCACTCCAGGGACAGACAGAAAGACAGACAGACAGACACACGCACACACACACACACACGCATGCACACACACACACACACACACACACACACACAGGCTCAGGCCTTGCCTAGGGGCATCCCATTGGTCCTTAGATTCACCCCTCCCCCGCCCCCCAATTTCACTTTCGTTTCCTGCCTGGCTGCTGCTGGGAACCCCCTTGGTGAGTAAATCCTGAACCCCACAGCCGGCCTCTTGCCTCTTGTACACCGAATCCGAAGTCTCCACAGGTGTCCAAAGGTGTGCTACACAATTCGTGGTGGGCAGCGCTCGGAAGACATCAGAAGAAAAAGCTGCATTTGCTTGGGTGCGTTGACGTCCTTGTTTTGAATCCTTTCTAGGGGAGGGGAAAGGGCCAGCTTGCGGGCTTGCTGCTGTCTTAGATCCTGAACCCTGGCAGGAGTGGGGTTTAAAGAAGGGAAGGCTCCCTCTCTGGGAGGGACAGCGCCTTCTCCTGCCTGAGTGCTGCCCACCCCAGCCCTTCCCCTCCTTCCTGGCCTCTACTGGTGAATTTCTCCTTGGCTGACTGTGCCTGAATACTGTTCTCCGGAGAAAGATAGTCCTTTCCCCCAACAGCAGGGTCAGCCAGAGGGATCTTTGTAAACCAATAGTGGCGTGCTTTTCAGTGTACTAATGTGTTTCAGCATGACTCTAGAGATAACTCTGTTTGCCCGGTGTGGGAGACCCCTGTACAGGTTTCAGTCCCCACCTGCCCAGTGTGCAATGCAGGCCTAAGAAAAAAAATATACTAAGAGACAGAACTAAGAGAGAAAGCAGAGTGCCAGGACGACCAAAGCCAGTGCAACCCACAAAGGCACTGGCCAGTCCCAGGCACTGACTTTTATTGACAAATCCATTGAGATAAGGCGATGTGTGATTTCTATGGAAATTAATGTAAACAAGACTCATAAAGGACAAGACAAAGCATTCTAGAATTAGGAACAGAATAGACAAAATATATGACTGTAATTAGAACATTGTCCTTCTAGCCTGAAGATTTTAGTTGTGGGAAGGAAATTTGGGCGTGAGTTACTCTGACCTCAGCACTTAGGCTTCCGCCAGACTCACTTCTCAAAAACAAGCCACTTGTGGGGTTCACTCTTTACAGCTTGCCTTGAGCATAGTCAATATTATGGTCCTCTGCACCCCGGAGCTGGGATACTTTTTGTGATAACTGACATGGGTAATTTCTCCTCATTCTTCAAGAAGAGTCTCTAAATGTGGCATCACTTGAGAGGTGTCACATTGTCTCTTTCTTGTAGTCTCATGTGACACCATAACCTACCAGCTCTAGGCACAGCAGCCATGTTGACATTTTCAAAATCATTGAGGATGCTTTATCTCTATCAACAGCCTATTTATATGTGTAACTTCTTCTCCTTAATACATTTGTCTCTTTTTCATTCCATATTTCCTTCATATTTTTAGGCTTCAGTTCAACCTTTACATTTTCATGTTGGAATTCTCTGATAACACTTTAATTTTGCAACTACAGCACATTTGTCTAGTACTATTTGTTACATCTTATCTGATGTTTTAATTCATGTGATAATTTAATTCATGTGATTTTCAAGTTGAATGTCAAGTCCACAATAATGATTGGAACCATGTTTGGCCTCTGGCATCATCATCTTTGTATTTAGAGTTTAGTAGCTGTGAGAACATAAGCTATCATTAATGCTAATTTGCCAGATGATCACATCTAACATTCGGGGGTTTCTCTTTCATAGTTGACGTTCATTTCTCTGGGATTATGTTTTTCAGGTCTCTGACATGTGTGATTCTGAAAGTATGTTTATCTCATCTCCCTCCCTAACATACATAGGCACACATAACTTTAGGATCATTCCCATGTCCTTGGTAAATTTCAAGGCCAAGGTAAAATCCTACTGTAGGGATAGAAACCTGTAGGTAGGGAAAACGAAGTACAACACCCCACCCCCGCCACCAGGAGTTTTGACAAATAGTTAAACAGGCCGAACCACCTGTGAAAAACTGACAGCTTGCGTTTGCACTTCTTCTGTACGCTGTACCCTGCAAAGCTTATTTTGCAGAAGTTAAAGAAAAAAAGAAAGCTAACCCTAGAATGTGGAAAGTCCCCAAAGACCATTCCCCATGCTCCCTAGAGTAACGAGCCAATCAACCCATCAAGTAAGAGCGCCCTCAGCCCAGAGACAGGTTAGGCTTCTGACTACTATAAACTCCACACTTAGAGCCCACCTTCAACAGTGGCTCCTTTTCTGGCACCCCTGCCTGTCTCTCTGAGAGAAGGCAGCTATGATCTTGCATGCCTGCTATATGAAAGTGTAAACTTTGTTTCAAAACTTTTATCTCTATCTGATTCTTCCACAACCTTCTGCATCCTTGGGAGAGTCAGGCCCAGGATTGTGGAGACTCTTCGCCCACACTACCATTTACAAACATGATTCTCCAAAACAAGCTAATGATCAGAATCGTGCTTCAACACCCACCTTGTTCTGAGTGTTACTTATGCCTAGCTAGTTACCTCTACTTTTGTGATTAACTTCGTAGGGTATAGAAGTGACATCTGGAGGAGGACTGAATGGGTTAAGTTAATTCCAGCTGAAAGTGAGGAAGACATAGAGTGGTACCTTGGTTCACAAACTCAATTCTCTCCACAATTCTGGCTGAAAAGTGAATTGGATGAGAACCAAATCCATTTTCCCATAAGCTCAACATTGAACCTAACCACTGAATTTGGTTCTAGTCTGACTCAGTTTGTGATCACAGTTGTGGAAAGAATCAAGTTCATGAACCAAGGTACCACTGCATTGTCTTTGGAAGTCATTTAGTATTCTTACATGTAATGAAGGGATTAGCTTCATCTTGTGGTATTAAAAAGAAATAACTGCATAAGAGTAGGAAGTCATGGAACTGTTTAGATGAAGTAGTTAGAGCAGCTCTGTCTGAGTAGACAACTTGTACAGGAAGTATAAGATTGAGACCATATTGATAGTGAAGGTAGTGTCCTATGGAATAAGTAGTTTGGTGCTTTTAAAACAGTTCAGATATGATTTTGGTGTGGGAAAGAAAAGTAAGGACTACTCAAGAATTTTAGTGTAAAAGGGCTCCATTTGTCCTTCTGTCCAGTAAAAGAAGGGAAAATAACCATCATTCTATGTGTGATACATCCTATCGCATGATATGAGCTGAGAATAAAGTGCCTGAAGTTCCTATAACGTAATTATCATTATGTCAGCAAACATTTTTTTCTTGTTTCATTCCCATTTCTTTGTTAATTTTTCATATTTTGTTCTTGATGTCTACTTGATTTTTGCCTAGGCAATATTCATTCAGTCCATTCCTGCTCTTCTTACTCTGTCCTATTTCAATCTTCCCAGTCATCAACATCCAGAACAGGAGGAAGCACAGGAGTCAGGAGAGACAGGAGCAGGGAAAGAGCTTCTATGGCCTCCTCAGTTCTGGTGGAGGTGAAGGAGGAGGTGACCTGCCCCATCTGCCTGGAGCTCCTGAAAGAACCTATGAGCACTGACTGTGGCCACAACTTCTGCAAACTGTGCATCACTGCAAACTGTGAGTCCTCAGTACATGAGCAAGGAGTGAGCAGCTGCCCTGTGTGCTGAGTCACTTTCCACTTTGCAACCCTGAAGCCCAATTGACACATGGCCAACATAGTGAAGAGGCTCAGGGGGTTGACCCTGATCCCGAGGGCAGATCACTGTGAACACCATGGTGAGAAACTCCTGCCCTTCTGTAAGGACGATGGGAAGGTCATTTGCTACCTTTGTGAACATTCTCTGGAACACCAAGGTCACCACATGATGCTCATGAAGCAGGTTGCATGAGAGTACCAGGTAAGAGACCAAGGTTGTCAGAAGACAGAGCAGAAAACAATACCTGGTAGGAAATTTCCACTTCCCACTATAGTTTAATTACTTTGCCACCATAGAACCAAGGTCTGTCTTTCTGTCCATTTTTTGCTTATCTTCTGCAACCTAAAGTAGGTATTGGTACACTCCAGTTAATTTCAAAGAATAAGCTTAGAGTAAGAGTTCATAGACAAAAGCAAATATTTTTGTAAACTTTACTAGAAGGGTGGAGATTTGGGGCTGAAGAGAAGCCCTGATTACCTATTTCAGCAGAAGAATAAATAAGATGGGTTCAGAACCAAGTGCTTTTCTTGATGTACAATCAAGTTTGTCTTCTGGGAAAGAAAGAATCAGTCTAAACTTGGTGAAGGGGACAGTGAATTTATTACTTAAAGAATTACTTAGAGGCATAAAGAAGACATTCACCTCCTCAGGTGTTTTTTTCAGTGTTGGTAAACTCAGGTTTCTGGGGAGATCAACCAGATTTCATCCACATTTATCCACTATCCAGGTGCTGAGAAACTCATAGCTTGACTCTGGTGGGATTCTTTTCTTACAGGAGCAGCTCCATGAAGTGCTGCAGAAGCTGATGAAGGATGAGAAAGAGTTTGAGAAGTTGAAAGCTGACATCAAAGAAGAAAGAACTTCCTGGAAGGCAGGAGAGGACACTTACAAGGGTGTTAGCCAGAAATCTGACAGGATCTTGGGAAGGAGATCCCTTCCTCTTTGTTTGGTGCTCACATAGTAAAGAAGTCATTGTTGAGTCCCATTCATGCTTTCCCTTTTGGGAGTGTGGGCAGGAGAGTGGCTGTCACTAATGAGTGCAGCTGTTTGGAGGGAGCTGTTCACACTGAGGGATGCTGGTGAGGATGGCCAGTGAATGCCATCCTACATGACTCTGATGGTTTTTGAGACAGACTGAGTCTACTGGGAAAAGATATTGACAGTGGCTCATGATTCTGCCTTCAGTATTCAGCTTTTGGCAGGGAGTTCACAAGTGCAATGAGGAGTAAAGCAGAGAGGTGCGGGTGTCCTGAAAGCTAAGCCACACCCAGGCATCCCATTTTGGGTCAGGGTGAGCCTGGGTGATGTTGACTTCAGGTCATTGATTTTAATGGCAGGGAGGGAAAATCATAGGAGAACTGTTCTTCCCTAAGAATTTCTCCTTTCTACTTCCCTTGCCCTGAGAACTCCCCAGTGAAAATAGTTATTTTTCTGGCTTCCCAACTCCAGTGACTGAGTGCCTCTCTCTTTCTTACCCCTGAAGAATCAGATACAGTGGGAGATAGAAAATGTCCAGAATGTGTTTAAACAATTGAGAGTCACCCTGGACTTTGAGGAGAAGAGGCTCCTGAGAAAACTGAAGACAGAGGAGGAACAGATTGTGAATAGCCTGGCTGTTTCTGAAAATGAGCTGACCCAGCAAACCTAGCTGGCAAGAGAGCTCATCTCAGATGTGGAGCATCGGTTGCAGGGGTCAGCAATGGAGATGTTGCAGGTAAGACTTCAAGAGTAGGTGCAGCATCTGAGATTCAGGTGCAATGAAAAGCATTTCCTCCTCCTCTGTGTGACTTTACTGTCTAGTGATGGAAATAAAGTTCTTTGGGCTAGTCATTACTTCCTTCTGAATGAATTTCAGGGGGTATGGGCATAATTGAATGTATATTTAAAAAGGGAAAATCCCGTTTCAATTATTATGAAGTGAAGTGCACAAATTTAATGTTGAGGGGAAGATCCATTGTATACAGTGATGTTTTAAAATTGCCAATTTCCTGTGATCTAGTGCTGAGCATTTATTAAGCATATTTTCACAATTCAAGGTAATCGCTGCTAAACAAAGGAACTTCAAGTTGCAAAAGATGTTCTACTTTCCTTTCTACAATAAATTGAGACATTTTCCATTTTAGTCCCCCCCAAAAAATCATCACAGACTAGTATTTCTTCCTTTATATATTCATTAAAATTCAGCAGTGAAGCCATCTCAGTGGTGTTTTTGTTTTCATTTTTGTTTTTTGCGTTCCCATAGAATTATAAATTTTTAAATTCTTTTACTTGTCTCAAGTTCATTTAGATAATCTATACTTCTTGAGTTAGATGTTGGTAGTACATGTCTTTGTACAAATGTTCATTTTATCTAAGTTGTTGAATTTGCAGGCGTAGTATAAGACTTGTTTATAATCTTTTTTATTTCTGTGTTATGTTAACTTTGTCAATATAAATTGTTTTTAATTACCACATATAGCATGTTCATTGGAAATATGCATACATTGTGGAATGTCTAAATGGAGCTAATTAACTCCTTCATTATTTTGCACACAACTTTTTTGCGGTGACAGCAAAGTCTATTCCTCTGGCAATTTGTAAGAACATAATACATTGTTATTAAGTATGGCCACCACATTGTGCAATGAATTTCTTGAAGATATTCCTTCTTTCTGATTTAACTTTTGAATCTTTTGACAAATATCTTCCTATCTCTCCCTCACAGGCCTTCACTCCTCCCAGTGTACTTCCTGCTTCTATAAGATCAACTTTTATTCATTCCACGTATTTAAGTGTTCATATCCACTACTATTTTTCTGGGCCTGGATTATTTCATTTAACATACAAT